AACAACTGATTATTATTAATACCACAGTCCATTTTTATCCTAATCCAGTTTGTTTCAGGCCCAAACCTTTTTCCTTATTTTATTCTATGCCCAATCCATTTAATTCTAACCCAAAAGCTAATCTAAGCCCTTTTGGAATAATCTTGACTTTGAAAACACATGAAATCGACCACTAAATAGATCAAATTGAATTTCATTGTCAGTGGGGCGGGTCAAGTAGGAGACCCGCCCCAGTGGGGCGGGGATGGGTCTCGGTTTGGCGGGAGGTGGGACGGGGATAGTGATAAAAACCATACCCGCCATGGGTGATGGGGCGGGGGTGGATTTTAGGTTATACCCGCCCCATCCCCACTTCATACCCACCCCGCTCCGCCTGCTCCATACCCACATCCATATATATTATTACATAAGAAATATATATATATATATATATATATATATATATATATATATATATATATATATATATATATATATAAATATTAAGTAAAATAATATAGTAAAAGTATACTACATTATAATATACTTATATTATAAACAAAAAAAAAAATGTACAACTTAACAATGATTTATTTTAATCATTATTTTGTAGTATTGTTGTATTTGGAAGGTGGGGATTAGGCGGGTCTTATGTGGGGATTAGGTGAGGGTAGATATTCAAGTGGAGGGTGGGGCGGGGATGGGGATGAATTTTGAACCCGCCGCGGGGATGGGGGTGAGGGTGGGGATGGGGATGAAAATGTTAGGCAGGGATGGGGATGGAAAAGCCAACATCCGCCCCGCCCCGCCCCATAACATCCCTAATTAAAAACTGGATAATAACCTAATTAGCAAGGATCTTTCTAGAAGTTTTCTGATTGTCACACCGCGACGAACTGTAAGACATCAAGAATGTAGAGTATGTGAATGATTGCACTCATGGCTGTCAATATATTTGATTAATTTGCTTATATTTACTCGTTTTCTTTTTAGGCAATATATAGGACTTTTAATTACCATGATAATGAGTAGCTCTATTATTTATAAAAAATAAGTTAATTTATGTTTGGAAAAGATATATAAAAACTCTATTCTTGGCAAAAGTATGGAAGCATCTATTATGATTTGATTTGATTTGATTTGATATTTCCATTGAAGATGTAATCGAAGTTACTGTTAAAAGGTGGTGAAATCTAATTATTTTTTTTTTTATTTTTTTATTTTTTTTTTTTTTTTGCGTTTTGTGGTTGGTTAAACAAAATAAACGAAAAAACAGAAGGTTGAATCTAGATAGGGTGTTTTGAGGGGTGGTAAAATATAATTTTTCCAGTTTTCCTAATATATAGTATGCATGTATTATAAATTAAACACTAAATATATATGGATCTTAATTAAAATTTTGATTTCAAAATTGTTAACATTTAAATTTAAAAAAACTTTTTAAGTATCCATATCACAACAATAATTTGATATAGTATAAATTTTTTTCTTAATATAAGATTAAAATATAATATGTAAAAAGGACGACAATGATACATATGTCAAGAAATCTAAATGAGTATGCAGAATGAAAAGCTAATAAAATTGGTTGAATTTTAAGATTTTTAAAATGAGTCTGTAGAATAAAGAAGTACATTTATTTAAATCTTAAGGAGTTTTAACACAATTGTAAAATATAAATAATTACTAGTATTAGATAATTAAAAAGCTGGTGTGATGTACGAAAAAAGTCTTAAGACAAGATAAGACTAATTTTGTTTATAAAATCCTCACTTTGTTCTTTATATAATTAAAATTTTAATTCTTATCCATTTTCTATTTATAATTTCATCTGTCATCTTTATTTCACGTTCGAAAGGTTGAGCCATATTATTGCCTTAAAGTAGAGTTGAGTACCAAATTATGAAAGTGGAAGTATGGAAACCCCGATCGGTTTTTTTTTTTTTTTTTTTTTTTTTTTTTTTTTTTTACGAAGTGGAAACCACGTTTGATAAATTAAAAATGGTTGTTCCATAAAATTGTTATCCATCCAAAACCCCTACCTACCTATCTACTAGTATAAATATGGTCGTTCCAACTCAAGTTTACATAACTAAGCATATACAAGTATATACACAACAAATTAACAAAATGAGTCAAGTGACAAAGTGTCTTACTAATAAAGTGGTGTTCGTAGCCATGGCAATGCTTCTCATGGCCTTTGTCGCGGTCTCAGCCACCCGTCCTTTAGTGGCCGACGAAACACCAGCACCCGGCACTCATAGAAAACTTTCTTTTACTCTCTTCTTGTTCCTGCATAGAAAACTTGTTGAAGCTTCTGGTTATGTATCTGCTAGTGATGATTATGATGCTCCAGGGGGATATTAAGGTTATACCTAAACCAACAACAAATTCATCCTATAATTCATATTATTCAGATGTTGTTAATCAACGATCATTTGCTGTAGCTTTAGTTCCAGACATATGACCTTGATAGTATTCATTGTTGCCTTAATTGATTATCTTTATTTTATGTACCATTACTTGTTTCTTTTCCTTTTTTTTTTTTGAAGAATCATTACTTGTTTCTTGTACCTGCTGGCTTTATTCTCTTTTCATTTGCCTCCAAATGTAATTGATCATTAATGTTTATTCATCTTACATGTTATATTTATATATTTTTTTATTGAGGAAATCTTTTATGTTAACTTTATATGATGATGTACAATTAAAGCATATGAGTATTTTTATCGGTTTATTTATCGTTATAAATAAATATCCTTAAATCGACCCGTACTTCATCACATACACATGTCTGATACGAACAACCTCCTAGCTCGAGCGTTGTTTAGTGTAGAGAGCCACAAGGGCATGATATAAACAATACTTAACCTTGTTTATGCTAAATGTTGCACTCGTGATTGGTTGTAATTGATAGAGTATAAAACATATTCCTGGACCTCAACCATTAGCTTAAACTTTTGGTTGAGTTGGTACCTTGACATGGTATCAGAGCTAGTGTGACACAAATTTCACGGGTTCAAATCCCATTCACCCCTCCTTTTAAAGTAGAATATTTCGCACAGGGTATGCCGCAGAAGACCCATGCTGCATTCACATTTCAAGCCCAAAGGGCTCTCATGTGAGGGTGCGTGATAAAGTATAAAACATATTCAATAGATAGAAGAATAACCAAGTTCAAACACTAAAGAGACTGTCAAAATCTACTGAACGCCATTAAAATGGAGCTAAGAACACAAATTGAAAGAACGAAGAAGAAGGAACTTCTATATTGAAAACCAGAGAAAAAGACAAAGAGAGCTTTTGGAGTAATTATTTTGCATGAATTTATTACAATTGTGCAAGGCTATTTACATCTAGCAACTAACTATAAATCAGGAAAAGTAAAATAACAGAAATATACAACTGGAAAATAGATTCAGTTATAATAGAATTTTGTTATTCAGTTGGGTAGCTATCTTGGGCCTTGATGCTGTGGACTTGACTCAGCAATGTGCTCAACACCCCTCAGCAAGCTGGACTATGGATTGAATAGGCCAAGTTTGGACAAAATATCTGCAAGCTGAGCTGATGGAATGATTTTGGTGAAATCAGCTAGTTGAGAATTAGTAGGCAAGTAAGTCAGTTGAATAAGCCCTTCAAGAACCTTTTCTCTAGTAAAGTGGCAGTCAATCTCTATGTGTTTTGTACGTTCATGGAACACAAGATTCTTTACTATATGGATTCCAGACTGGTTTTCACAATGAAGAGTGACAGGTAACAGATCATTAACTCCCAATTATGCTAATAGCCTGACAGTCCAAGTTACTTCTCCTATAGCACTGGCCATTGCCTTGTACTCAGATTCTGAGGAAGACTTGGATACAGTAGGTTGCTTCTTTGATTTCCAGCTAATTAGAGATGATCCCGATTGTAGAACATAGCCAGTAACACTTCTTCTTGAGTCAGGACAGGAACCCCAATCAGCATCACTAAAGGCTTGGAGTGTAAGAGCAGAAGAACCCTTTAATAAAATGTCTTGTCCTGCATTATGTGCCACATATATGAGAGTATGCTGTATAGCCTCCAAGTGAGAAGCTCTGGGTTTTTGCATGAATTGACTAAGAGCCTGAACACTGTAAGACAAGTCAGGTCTTGTGTTGGTAAGGAAGTTTAACTTTCCAACAAGACTTCTGTACAAAGCTGGATCAGAGATCAAAGGACCATCATCTGCTGTCAACTTCAAATTCTGAGGTAAAGGTGTGACTGCACTCTTGTGTAAAGGAAAGTTACACTCAGAAAGCAACTCATGTGTAAATTTCTTTTGTGTTAGAACAACCCCATTTGGTAAGTAACTGACTTCAATTCCTAGAAAGAAACCAAGTTTCTCTAGGTTCTTGATGCTGAATGTTCAGTCCAGATGAGGTTTTAAAGCAGCAATTGTTTCAACATCATCACCAGTCATTATTATATCATCAACATATATGGCAGCAATGGTGATCTTCCCAGCATTTTTCTTGGTGAACAAAGATGCATCACTATGGCATTGAACAAACCCTTACTTTGATAACTCAATTAGGAGCCTAGAAAACCACTGTCTAGAGGCTTGCTTCAAACCATATAATGATTTTCTAAGCTTGCAAACTTTGCCAGAATTACCAGAAATACCCTCAGGAAGTGTTATGTAGATTTCCTCATCAAGGTCTCCATGAAGGAAGGCATTATTGACATCAAATTGATGCATATCCCATCCTTTATTGGCTGCTACAATAATAACACACCTAACAGTTGACATTTTTACCACAGGAGAGAAGGTTTCTTCATAATCAACACCATAACTTTGAGTGTATCCTTTTGCTACTAGCCTTGCTTTATACCTTTATATTGTTCAATCTGCTCTGAGCTTAATCTTGAATACCCATTTACATCCAATGGCCTTCTTACCAGGAGGTAAGTCAACTATATCCCATGTTTTGTTCTTATTTAGAGCATCAATTTCTTTCTGCATTGTAGAAACCCATTCTGGATGTTTAGAGGCTGCTTTATTTGTATGTGTTTGGTTCATAATTTGAGGAAGATTGTGCAATTAAGGCTTTATGAGTAGATGGAATATCAAAATAGAAGATTAGGTTGCACCAATGTGGGTTTGCTTTTGCAAGAAATTTACACATATAATCTTTCATCCATTTAGGTGGCTCTCTTTGTCGAGTGGAATGTCTAGTATCAGGAACTGTTCCTGAATGAAGAGTATCTAGAATATCTGTAACCTCTGAGGGTTGTATAATGTGATAAGGAAGAGACGATGAATTTGTGCTAGTGTTTGAATCAGAAATAGACATCGAAAGAGGATAAGGAATATTAGGAGATGAGAAAGATGATTGACTAGTGGAGGAAGATGATGTGTCAGATGAGATAGAAACAGGAATTTGGGTTGAGATAGGAGCATGATATCCTTTTGTATAGTCCACAAAAGGATCAATGAAAATATGGTTGTTATTATCATTTGGAAGGAAAAATTGAAAAGGATGTTTGTCAGACTGCAACACATGAAAAGGAAAGTGTTGCTCATAGAAATGAACATCTTTACTTACTGTGATGTGATTATTATTGAGGTGCAAAACTCTATAACCTTTTTGTGTAGGAGAGTAACCAATGAAGACACAAGGGTCTGCTCTAGGATCAAACTTGGTTCTTCCAACTTTAGATGTTGTCACAAAACAAAGACACCCAAAAGCTCTAAGATGAGAAATATCAGGAATTGTCCCAAAAAGCTTCTGACAAGGTGAGAGGTTATGTAAAACAGATAATGGCATTCTGTTAATAATATGAGCTGCACTCAGAACACACTCTCCCCAATATCTATAAGGAACCTTAGATTGAAAAAATAGAGCTATAGCAGTCTCAAGAAGGTGTTTGTGCTTTCTTTCTACTACCCCATTTTGCTGAGGTGTATCACTACAACTTATTTGATGTAGGATATCCTTAGCAAGATAAAAATCAGCAATTTTGCACTCACACAACTCCTTTGCATTGTCTGATCTAATGCATTTCACCTTAAAACCATGTTGATTCTCAGCAAAAATCACAAAATCAATCAGAATCTTAACGGAATCATTCTTAAAATTTAATAAGTGCACCCAAGTATGCCTTGTAAAGTCATCTACAATGGTTAGGAGCATAGTACAGCTATTATGAGTTTTATGCTTGAAAGGACCCCAAATATCTACATGTATAAGCTCAAAAGGAAAAGAAGTTTTTATTAAACTTTAAGAAAAGGGTTTTCTACATTGTCTTGCTTGAGGACATATCTGACAAATGTCATCATTCCAATCTCTTACATTTAAACCAGGAATTACATGACTCAATTGCCTAAAGGGCAAATGTCCTAATTTGAGATGCCACAATTTTGCATCATTATTCAGCTTACAATCAGGAGGAACCTTATTACTACTTGATGTAGAAGCTAGATGAAAGCTATTCTCAAGATTTCTCACAAAAGGAACACTATCTACAAGATATAGGCCAGACTTCTAATTACCAAGAAGAAGTTCCCTGGTCAAGGTAGGACCCTGTATGATACAAGAGGCAGAAGTGAACTTAATAGAGTAAGAAAGGTCTTTGCAAAGTTTATGAACAGAGATTAGGTTAAGCTAGAATTTAGGAATAAAAAGAACATCTTGCAGCACAATGTTTTGTTCTAAAGTAACTGTTCCTACATGGGATATAGAGACTTTTCTACCATCGGGTATAGTTATTGTATCCTCTTCTGAATTCATCATTTTATAGGTATCAAACATGGTTAAATCACTGCAAATCTGTGTGGTCTGTGGCTCCACTATTAATCACCCATCCAGTACTAAAAGCAGAAAAAAGGCAGAGTTTACCTGCAAAATATGCAGCTCTGGAAGTAGTTGGAGCATTTTCTTAAATTTTTAGTTCTTAAACATTTGCAGCTACTGCTCATTCCTTAGAATTAGACAAGTAGCTCATAAACTTGGCGTACTGATCTCTAGAAAATATTGATGTAATGCTGTCATCTCCATTATCATTAAAGCTTACTGAACTTTCACCCTGAGCCATATTAGCAAATTTCTTCTAGCCATTATTAGATTTCTGCTCATTTGGGAAACCATGAAGCCTGTAACACCTATCAATTAAGTGCCCTGTCATCTTACAATGTTCACAAACCAAAACAGGTTTGTTTCCCCTATATTTGTTTGACATGCCTCTTCCTTGAAAACCTCCTCTATTATTATTGTTGTTATAAGGTTGAAAACCAGTTCTGTTGTTGTTGAAACCTCTATTATCATAGAATCTTCTTCTGTCTGCTACAAACGCAAATCCTTCTGTAGAAGTAGTACTGTGCTCACTAATTTGCTTATGCTTCTATTCTTGTAAAAGCATTCTGTAAGCCAGAGTTAGAGTAGGCAAAGGTTGCATCATCAAGATATTACTCCTAACTTGTTTATACTCATCCTTCAGCTTCATAAAAAATTGTAAAAGTCTTGAGTCTTGTTGAATTTTCAGAAACTTCCTTGTCACATTGCATACACAACCACTACAAGTACATAGTGGTATACGATTAACATCATCAACCTGATCCCATAAGACTTTGATCTTAGCAAAAAACTCAATTATCTCTTCAGTTCCCTGATGTACAATAGAAATTTCTTCTTAAATACCATACAAACTCAGTTGAAGACACTTGTCCATACCTCTCTTCTAAATCTTGCCATATATCCCTGGTAGTCTTATAAAAGAACACGCTCTTCTTTGTAATTAGTCCAAGAACTCCCAATATCCAGCCAATTACTAAATCATTGCATCTAACCCATGCTTTGTAAGCAACAACTGTACTTACTGGAGCAGACATACTACCATCCACAAAACTTAGTTTGTTCTTAGTTTTCACCATCAAAAACCTCAGAGATGAACTTATGTATGTTATTATCAGATGGATGTATGTAATAAATCGAACTAGGATCTTGTGTTAACTCCAAACTCCTATTCTGACTATCAAATTCATGTTCCCAACCATCTTTAAACAAATTCAATTAAGATTTTTCCAGAATCAAGAAATCAACAATTCTATCTTCAATCAAACAACTAACAACAATACTCCAGAATTCGTACTCACACAATTCTATCTCCAATCAAAAATAAAGCTCAACCATCAAACAATCCACAATTTTAATCAAGAAAAACACCAACTCAATTAATTAACCTTCAACAATTTCTTCAAAAACACAACTACTCAACTCTTAGCAAGAGTTTTAATCAACCAATATTCAAATACAAGAATCAACAAAGAAACTTCTCAATCAACCAGAATTTTCACAATTAACAAACTTATTCTCCAGAAACAACTAATCTTCTATAAAACTGAATCAAATTCCTTTTTCAATGAAAAAGAAACGGAAAAATGAAGAAGAGAAAAACGAACCAAGAAAACGATGCGGAAGACAATAGCTCCTAAGATCGAAGTCGGTGCTCTAATACCATGTCAAAATTTGCTGAACGCCATTAAAATGGAGCTAAGAACACAAATTGAAGGAACGAAGAAGAAGGAACTTCTATATTGGAAACCAGAGAAAAATACAAAGAGAGCTTTTTGGAGTAATTATTTTGAATGAATTTATTACGACTGTGCAAGGCTATTTATATCTAGCAACTAACTATAAACGGGAAAAGTAAAATAACAGAAATATACAGCTGGAAAATAGATTATGTTATAACAAAATTCTGTTATTCAGTTAGGCTGCTATCTTGAGCCTTGATGCTGTGGACTGGACTCAGCAGTGTGATCAACAGAGACTAATTAAGAAAAGCCACAACCAAAAAGATAGGGAGTTAGGAAGCCACTCCCGCTAGATTTTCATAACATGAACAATATTAATGGTTTAATTAAAAAAAGTTGATGGGAATAGTCGTGAATCCGTAAAGGTTGGAGTCTTGTTAGATTTATTTCAACATCTATTTTTCGAATATCATTTCATTAGAAAGTATGCATGGACAAATATGTTTAAATGATACTATAAACGGAAGAAGTGCATAGCTAGCCGGCTAGGCCTGGCCAGAGAGTTCTTAAACTACCATACGGAGTATAAAGAATTACTAATTAGCAAAAGGTCATACGTAGTACTTTGTAATTAATGAGCTGGCCCAGGTTGATCTCGGAGAGAAACATGGGGTGTTTATCTCAGGGTAAAAACGCCTTTTCGCGTGTAAACGTAAGGGTGTTTATGTCAACATGGGGTGGACGGATTTCTACTGTTATATTGGCGTTAAGTTCACATAACTAACCATGGTTACTAGATGCTGTCACCTACCCAAACCCAAGAGCATTGATTTCAGCGACATGTAAGCGTCTTTCTTCTTCAATTTGACTGTTTGTTCTTCAATTCAGCTTTTACATTTTGGAAAAAAATTAAAAAAAAAATCACCATCATCTTCCTCCTCACTCCATTGTGACCCATCTCCATGATTAATCCATGGTTTCCTTTTCTCCTTCCTTCAAATTCCCGACCCCGCTAGTATTTTCATCTTCTTCCTCCTTCTCTGATCCCCAAACACCTTAATCTTCTTCGTTTTCTTCTTCAAGATACTTCAATGGTGAGTACCAAACCTTAAAACCGTTTTCAGCGGCTTCGCCACCAAAAACAACGAAAACCTTATGTTAAAATGTAGAAATTAAGGAAATGGTTAACCGCTAAGGGGAAGGTGTTTGTGCAACCACCGCTTGGATTTACAAACCCATTTTCATGAACTCTGCGAGCTTGCTTTTCTATTTCTCTCTTGTGAAGAGGATCATCGCGACAACAACCTTCTCCGACCAGATCCAGCGTCGGTCAATTAGTTTTGAACTATGCTTCTCACTTTCTCGTGTCTCTTTCCATTGCAGGAGGAAATGTTATTGTGGGTTAAAGGCCTTGGTTATGGCGTTAACGTTGGGGAAACGGATTTATTACCATTACTTTGCTGTCACATGGCAGCTGACAGAGCTGGGGCCCAGAACTTGTGTTTCATTGGATGTTTCCAAATACCAATGCAATTTAATTACAGAAATGCCACGATATAAACAATGCTTGTTTATCACCAAGATCAACTTGGATTTTCTCGTAATTAATTACGTAAAAATATTTTTGGACACAAGGAGTTCGACCAAAACATGTTTAGCACAACTGTTAGGAATCAATACGTCATTTGCTGTCACGTCCGATTGGGATTAGCTTTACGCTCCTTGAATCCATGGTTATTGCTCCATCTTAGAGTCAAATTACGAAAGTGGAACTGTGGAAACCACGTCCATCGTTTTTTTTTTGATGAAGTGGAAACCACGCGTTTGATGAATATGGTTGTTCCATTAATTTGTTATTTGTTATCCTATCTATATATAAATATGGTTGTTCCAACTCAACTTTACATTACATATACATAACAAATTAACAAAATGAGTAAAGTGACAAAGAGTCTTACTAATAAGGTGGTGTTCGTAGCCATGACAATGCTTCTCATGGCCTTTGTCGCGATCTCAGCCACCCGTCCTTTAGTGGCCGACTAATCACCAACACCCGACATTCATAGAAAACTTGATTTTTTTTTTTTTTTTTTGCACCTGCATAGAAACTTGTTGAAACTTATGATTATGCATATGTTGCTGGTAGCGATTTGGACCCTGCAGAGGGTAATGGTGATTGACTTAAGCCATTCACAATAGATCTGTTGGAGCCTCTCCTATCTTCCTTGTGTATGATGAAATATAATTATGAGAATTAGTGATAGCTTCCTTTCTTTCTCTTGCATTAAATGAGCCGATAATGTTGTTGCATGCCCACCTTGTCGCTTAATGGGATACTAATCTCTATATGGAGCGAATTTGTATGAACCATTTTTCCCCAAAGTCTCCAAACTTTGGTGGATATTGATTATTGATGTATGGGTGCTAGTTTTTCCTAAAAAAAAACCCAATTTCATATAATTCTTATTATTCAGATGTCGTTAATCAAGAATCATTTGTTGCCTTATTGATTCTCTTTCTTTTATGTACCATTACTTGTTTCTTGTACCTGCTAACTTCATTCTCTTGTAATAATTGGTGACGTGAAAAACCTAACAAAAGAAAAACCACGATGTAGGGAATTTTTCAAAACTCAACTTTGTGCCCCACTGTGATCATGTTTTTAATTATGATGGCGTCCAAAGGGAAAGAAGGTAAAGATAGAAGAGTCGCCAACAAGTTTTAGGAACTTGTAAACCATTCACGGGTGTGAAGGTTACACCCCATTCACGATCACGGAGATCGCTAACTCCATAGTGGTCCGGAACCATGACTGGATATTCGGGGATGATGGTACGAATCCAACCTAAAAGAGATTGAACCCGCCCTAAATCGACCTCGACTTAATTCTTATGATACTCATGTGCGCTTTTCGATCAACATACATACATCAAATTAATCCTAAGCATATTTAATCTACGTTGGTTGATTATTAATGCACAATCAAATCTATTATTGGTGATCACTTGAATTAAAATCACATTAAGACTAAATCAAATTATTAATTATCTTAATAAGCATAATTTCAAGTACAAATTCCCTTTAAACTTGCAAAAAGGGGCGTGATAAAGCAATAACAATCAATCGTTAATAATCAAGCAACATATAATTGACGCAACAATCATCATCATAATAAAAAATCATCAAAACATCATTCGCAAGATCCAAGGCATAATACTAAACGAATTAATAACAAATCCTAGCATATCACTAAAAATTATAATCAAAGCATTATCCTAAACATGATACTATCAATCAAAATCAACATCCTAAACATGATACTAGAAATCATAAAAACATCCTAAACATGATACTAGGATTCATAAAAACATCCTAAACATGATACTAGGAACTAAAATAACATCTAAACATGATTTCTACTCCAAAATCAAGGATTAAGTAATTGAATCAACTACGTTGATGTTCCCCCCTTCTTGCTATTAAAACTATAAACACGCTAGTAACTTCAAGAAAGATTAAATCAACAAAGTAAATAAATCAAATAATAATTGAAATATGGATT